GTGGTGGGTGTGTTGCTGCGGACCCAAGGGAGTGCAGTGTCACATTTTGGTGCAATATGGACCAAACACGTTCAGAATTAATAAACTTTTAATAAACTACAGAACAGCGCGAGCCGGAAGCGGGCAGGGCTTATATGCTCCGAGAATGGACACTGCACTAGTGATACAAAACACAGGTCTGTTAAGAGCAATACTTTTAATAAGGTAGCCTAACATTTTTCTCACAAACAAATCACTCCCAAATCAGAAATTAGCAGCACAGTAATTACTGACACCGTAAAGGGTAGGCTATTTAAATAAAAGAAGAACGAAAAATAAATGAACGAAGTTCAACGAACTGTAATAAATAAAGAACATGGTAGCATACTTTCAATAACAGCATCACACATTTTAATTAACGAACAGTTTAAATAAAATTAAATGAATTCCCTTATATAGAATAAAACAAACTGTATAGGCTAAACAGAACAAGGTAACTGGGGATGTACCTATAGACAAATTATTATTATGCTGGGCTACTGTACGTTTTTTTATGACTGCCGTATTCGCAAGTATTTTGCAAGCAAATTAAGTGCACGTTTTTATCATGTGTAAAATTACTGATTAACATGGCGGATAAAAGCAGCTCGTTTTTTTATACCAACAATATACTATAGGCGTACTACTTACAGAACTCAGGTGATTTTTCAGACTTGATGTGTTGTTGTGGTAGGCCAGTTTCAAATCGCATATTTGGCACACTGCCTTTGTCTTGTCCTCACTCAATTTAAAGTGCTCCCACACAGCTGAAGTCTTCGGCATTTTTGTCTTCTCTTCCAGATGAACTGAATCACGACATTCATGACGTTCACTCATGGGCGATTCATATTCAAGCGCGAATGAGAACCGTTTCACGGGGGATGCCAGGTGTTCGAGAGAAGAAAAAAAATGAATATTCGAATCTCAAAATTGAAAATTGAATGCCAACCCACCGAACGAATATTCGAATAATCTAATATTCTGGTCCAGCCCTACTGCAAATTTTGGAGACGGCTTTACTGATAAGATGCGCGTTAAATATCGCATGCGATTTATCATGCAGCCCTACTTTCATCACTATACATGTTTATCTTTCTTCAGAATAAATATTAGAAAAATCAAAAATTTTAGCCAGGGACCTCTGGTTGAGTTGACACGGAATGAGCCATTCATTTTTTTGCAATGCATGCTTTGCAGATTTTTTTCTAAAGACTTTTTTAAAGACCTTTTTAAAGGAACATGCCACTATTTTTTAAGAGTTTCGATATTTTTCCTATTTAAAACTTGACTCTTCTGTAGTTACATCGTGTACTAAGACCGACGGAAAATGAAAAGTTGCGATTTTCTAGGCCGATATGGCTAGGAACTATACTCTCATTCCAGCGTAATAATCAAGGAACTTTGCTGCCGTACCATGGGTGTAGCAGGCGCAATGATATTACACAGTGCCTGAAAACAGTCCCCAGCTAGGTAATAGGAAAAATATCGAAACTCTTTGGTCATTTTTGAGCGAGATGCTAACAGTCTAATCAGATTAAATGATCTATGCTAAGCTGCAGCTAAAAGTGCTACCGCCTGACCCGGAGATCGGCTGAATGGATTCGAAAACGGTAAAACTCAACTGTTTATCTCTAGGGGAGTTGGAAAATGAGCCTATTTTCAAAAATAGTGGCGTGTTCCTTTAAGGCCTTAATTTGTGGAAGGACGATGAAGGCAACTTTTTAAGACCTGCAGAAACCCTGAACTTTAAAAACTAGAGCATATAAAATAGACTTTCTAAGTGGTATAAAAGGAGTCATATTTGTTCACCTGAGAAACGGAAGACTTTCCTTTAGGGTCGCTGTTCCATTACGCGTAGTCTCCGTAAAATTTGGTGAACTTACAGTCTGATCTGAGAATGTATCCTGAGATTTTGTAGGACTAATGGGCTCCATAGAGGGACAAAGCCAGAGTCGAAGGGGCGGCTCAGTGCCATCTTTCCCAGGTCCAGTAGAGGAAACGATCTGTTGGGAAACATTGCCCACTTTTACAGCCGGAGAGTGAATGAAATTCCGTGTCACAGATGTGTCAATACTGAGCGGCGAGACCCTCGTGAGACGCGGAGGGCTGTGAAACTCAGCATTGGGGATCTTGGAGAGGCTGCTGTCCCCTGTAGGTGAGATTGGGATGAGTCGGGGTCTTTGGGATGTCGACGTCGGGTTGTGAATGATGCTCTGGGGTGTTCGGGGTAAAACCTCAGGCGTGCGGGTTGGATCTGGGACGGGAATGGCAGTAGCTGATGTGAGACTTGAACGTGTTCTTTCCAGTATAGTACGAACAGTCTACATATGCCAAACAACCACATAGAAAAGAAGAGAATGTTTTAAAAATATTGTAATAGTATCATATATGTAATCATATATGGTTAAATTAAATAAAAAATAAAAAAATCTGGAAATTTTACTCCTGGTTATTTAGAAAAGTTGCAGTCTTAGCAATCTCAACTAATTAAAGCATTTAAACAAAAATGTTAATTTTATATTAAATGATAAAATTCACAAAAAAATCCTATAAACAGAAAGACTTATTTACATATAACAATTGAGCAGCAAATCAAAGCATATAAGAATGAATTCTGAAGCATCAAGACTGGAGTAATGCAGAAAAAAAATTCAGCTTTGCATCTCAGGAAATAATTACAACAGAAAATATTTCACAATATTACTGTTTTTATCTGTATTTTTGATCAAATAAATGCAGTCTTGGTGAGCATGAGAGTCTTCTTTAAGAATCATTCAAAAAAATATTTTTCATTCCAAACTTCTGACCCATTGTGCATACATAATATTCTCTCTAACAATGCAAACAAAACCCAAAACAAGACAGATAGCTACACAAACCTTAGTTTTAGGGCGATCTGCATGCAATCCTTTCTTGAAATCTAAACGAGTAAGTCCATGTCTAGCATTTCTGGCAATCGGAGGCCGACCTCTGCGTCGTTTTACTTTAGGACTGTGAGGATATGAAAAGTACTAAAGTCAGTTTATCAACTTGAACATAATCAACAGGTCTAAGGCTGATGTTACAAGGGGCAACTTTGGGCAATGTTGCTGTCAATGGGCAACCAGGTGAGACACAGGGCCCACAACCAATCTAACGTATCCAGATAGAAATTTGTCACCCATTGTCAATGGGAAAGTGTCCAAGCAACATTGTTCAAAAAAAAAAGTTGCATGGGAAAATTGCTCAAAAAGTTGCCCTGTGTGTCATCAGCCTAAGGACAGTTATTATCAAATTTATTTAAATGTTCATTAAAAAAAGAGACTTAAAATTGGGTTCAAAAGTGTGAGACCACTTGTAAATCTGCTTCTATTTAGCACTTTTTTAGTTTAATAAAACATTTAATTGCAAATATTCAGCGTAACAGTTTGAGCGAAAAATTCAACAAAAAATGGAATGTATTTCTGAATGTCTTCATATTTGGATTGTCTTATTTTGGATTAATGAAAAAGCACTCCTGAAAGTTACATGAATAAAACTTGATAATCATATTCTATAGCATGATTTGAGAAGCTTCAAATGGAAGCAAGAAAATCGTATCTGTACAACTCTATACAAAGGAATTTTTAATATTTATTATTTATATATTAAATCATTTAAACGTTTTTTTTTAAATAGTATTTTACTATTGTATTTTATTTTTAATTTATTAAAAATAATTATTAAACACAGAAGCTCAAATGTGTGATCTGCTGGGTTTACCGTATTTGGTGTGAAATGAATCACGTTGTGTGAACTTTACACACTACTATATTGTGACATAATATTGTTATGCCTCTAACACAAACTATAATATATCCCACTAAATGCAAACAAAAATCAGGTATAAGCACATACACGTCATTATTGGTTTTTCTGGTGATCCATTCACTGCTCTTGACACCTTCACCATCATCTTCATCCTCCTCCATTGGCTTCAGCCAATCAGGTGGCGACTCAACCATCACCTTTCCAGGTGCACTGTTCTCCACTGCATTATCCTCAATGACAGTAACAACATCTGATCCAACCGGCACAGTCTCTTCCGGTTTCATCGTCTCCGGTTCAGCTGACGCCCTGTTCAGCTCATCCGTCATGTCTGATCCCGTTCTGTGGATTCTCCTGTATTACTAGTGAGACCAATGGTTTTGAGTCATGCCAGGAGGAGTCTGGACGTTGAACCGCTGGCTCACATTTTTAAACAAGAAAAATTACTTTGCTGTCCATAGAAGTTGGAAGTAGAAATTTCATCTCAAAACGTTACGAAGAGCTTGGGTTGCATAAAATGTCAATGTTTCAAAATGTTTCAACCATGTCTTTAGTGGTTATAAATTATTATATCATACCTGTAATGAGAATGCAGATATTAGAGGGAAGAACTAAATTAAACACCAAATTATAGATGCAATAAGATTTTTATTATTCCAGCAGAGTCTGTGGTCATTTTTCTGGTTAATGTATTTCTAAACAGAAAAAGCAAAGTTGGCACACCACAGCTCCAAAAGTAGAAAAATATTCATGTTCTCACCACAGGTGACGTTTCGAGCCTACAAGCTCTTCATCAGAGGCTCGAAACGTCACCTGTGGTGAGAACATACATAAATACGTTTCTACTTTTGGAGCGGTGATGTGCCAACTTTGCTTTATCTGTTTGACATTGCTTGTAGTTGAGCACCCACATTGAGCATTTGGCCTGCTGGATGTGCGCACTTTGATTGTAATCTTAATGTATTTCTAAAGACATACTGAATTTCTATCAACACACTTTGTATTGAGATGAATTGCAAACCAATCACACACACACATATATCATCACTAATGATTTAAGAATCTGCCAGAGATAATTTTTTTCTTTTTACGTGTTCACATACTTGTATCACAATCTGCATACCACTATTTTAATTTAACATTTAAGCAACAGCTTCTAAGAAAGTCTTTGCCAATGCAACGTAACCAATGTAAAAAAACAAAAACCTCTATTAAATTAGGCTACTGCAAAGACTAGCGTGAAGGAGAATATTTATAGAACGGGGCTGAAACGAGCGGTTGCCATGGTGACAGAATTGCAGCGAGCCCAGCAGCGACGGCGATACAAATGGGCTGACAACATTCGATATCTGCAATGCAGCGCAATTACTATGGCAAAGAAATGCGCTACAGTGCAGCAAGCATCCAGCGCTTGTTAAAGTTTGTTTAATGGAAAATACTTGATTTCCTGAAACCCTACTTATATGTAATTAAAACAAAGCAGACCAACTGTTTAAGACAACTTCTGTTTAAGAAAACTAAAAGGTTGACCAAGGTAATAAGCACTTTGACAATTAGAAGAACAATACAAACCCAACAAAACAGATGTAATCAACATCTCAGCAATAATAAAATCCCGCTGTGGGTTCCAGTTCAAATCTGGGTCACAGGGTGATTTGTATATTGTAAAAATGATGATGACCTCTTGATAAGGTAAGCAAGTCAGTAAGGAACTCACTGAATCAGTTCAGTAACATTAAAATCTCAAATGCTGAACTAGCAATTTTCAGTCATCTCTCATTTAGCCAAAAAGTAACAAATACAGCAGCTCATTATCAACACAATTTTAGTTTCTTCCTCATTTTAACTACTAAGAAGAAAATATACTGAACTAGCAATTTTCAGTCATCTCTAATATAACCAAAATTAACAAATGCTACGGCTCATCGTCAAGACAACTTTAGTTTCTTCATCTTTTCTAACTACTAAGAAGAAAGTATACTAAACTAGTAATTTTCTGTCATCTCTCACACATAGCCAAAAGGTAACAAATACAGTAGTAAAAAAAGTATGATAATTTTCCAAAGAAAATATGCAACCGTGATGGAACAGATTTTTCCAAGTTTCCAAATGTGTTTCGTTAGTAATGATCAAACTGTAAACTCTTATGGATAAACTCATTCAAAGTAGTCACAATTAATGTCTGTAAACACTTGCAAACAGCACATATTCCTACAGATATTGTTGCAAAATATAGGTTTGACTTAGCTGCTATACAAACACAGAAATGTGTACCACAATAAACCTAAAAAGCAAGCACATTTATTTAATCATTCTATTCTAAAATTAATTACACTCAAGAGGACATACTTAAAACACTTAAATGTTTAAAAGGATTATAAAAAATTCCCAAAAAACGTAGTTTAAACAATACGTTGAACCGTTTTCCTTTTGATGTGATCATAGACTGTATAAAAATGTGATGCAACAGAAGCAAACACTTTCTCGTTTGCATTTTGATCATGCAATCATCAGATCAGTGTTTATGATCATTTTGGAATATTGTGTTGCTGCAATAAACATTTTAGTATGCCCCCAGAACAGTGACGTTTCATACACATAAGAAGGTAACTGCATTGTACATTATATTTAATATTTAGTTGTCGAATGTGTTAAAAGTTGACGATGCTGTGTTATTATTATTATGCATATATGTTTGCAACGTAATCGGCGTCGGTGAAGCTTTGATTTATATTACATGTTTTTTTTAATTACGTGACACTAATTGCAAGTTGATTTGTTTGGACTCGTGGTCTTAGTACCGATAGAACAATTTGCTGAAACGGAACTAAAATAGCGCGATGCACTTTTTTAGTGCAAATAAACTTACATCTTAATGTTATTAAATTGTCTGTGCAATTCCTAACATTTCTGTCTTGCGATAACGTGATAAAAATGAACGGTGAGCAAAACAATCAGATCGTAATAAATCGACACGATTTTCGCCAGCCTCCATTACAGATCGCTGGAGTGAGGAAGGCTGTCCCGACACGCGATCAAAAACACGTCCGATAGAACGAGACATTTATCGACGGTACTATCAAACCTCCGTTTTGCAAGCGTATTCCACTGGCAACGTCCCTTATTAATTGTGACAGATTTTAAAGACACGATAAGTTTATGTTGCACGACTCCAAAACGTCCATTTCGCTGTACTGAATGAGCTCGAGCAGCCCCCCCCCCCCCCCCCCC